GGGGGGGGGGGAGGAATAAAAATAGCCATGGGGAGGGGGGCCCTGCAGCGCAGTCAGGGCTCCTGGCAGCACACTGCCAGTGTGGCAAAGGGTGAGCAGCCTGTGGCAGTGCTGCATGCCCCCTTCCCAGGGTAAAGGGTCTGGTGGGGGCCCTGGGATCAAGGCAGAGCTTGTGCAAGGAAATTGAGGCACCACTGGGTCCATCCAGAGCCAAACTAGGGTCTCTGCTGCCTCTAAGCAGCAATGGCAATTGTGCCCAGCCTGGGGGCACCATGGAGCCCCTCCAGCTTTGCCCACAAGGACCATATCAGCTGTGCCAGGAGGGTTTATTTAAGTTAATGAGACCACAGGAACCGCTGGGCAGCAGTAGTGCTGAGGTAGGGGACCGTGGCGGTCCCCAGCCCTGGTCACCAGACCCACGTGCCCCGTGGCTGGCAGACATCGGAGGGCGGGAGGTCCTTATGCCCGTAGAGGCCATGAGTGTGAGTGGGCGCCAGGCAGGAGGTGGCAGGGCCAGGCTGAACCCGCTGGGCACAGCCCTCACCAGCCCAGCCACGGTAGCAGTGGCAGCGGAAAGAGGCTGGTGGGCCGGTGCCAGGGCCAAGGTGCAGGAGGCTGCCCAGGTCGTGGGGCTGCTGGCGCACGCAGCGCCCATGCCCATGGCAGTGCCCGTAGCTGCACTCCCGGGCTGCTGCGGTCACATTGGCCACGTAGGGACCCAGGGTGGACACGAGGTAGTGGCGCAGGCTGGCACAGCTCTCCTGGAGGGGGGAAGCACCAGTGAGAACCTGTTCCATCACTGAGGTCCCCTCTGGCTACACCTCCCCGGCAGGTACAGGGGACAGGGATGTCCCGTGCGTCCCATGCCCACGCCATCTCCTGCTGCCCACCATGTGCTGGCTTCAGTGCAGTGAGGAGCCATACTCACAGCCGAGCGGGAGTATGACATGTCTCCCCAGAGAACGAGTCCGGCTGCACCCAGCGCCGCGCTCTCCCCGATGGTGTGCACCAGGTCAGCCTGCCGGGGAAAGAAAGATGTGACCGGGCTGGGGGGGCACAGGCTGTGTCCTGGTGCCAAGCAGGACCGCTGGCACACCCACTGCCAGCTCTAGCCCCGCGGTGCTTACCAGCTCCAGGAATCGGGGCGAGCGGCGGAAGGAGAGGCGGGAGTAGGCGACCACAGGCAGGAGGCCGTTGGCCCCAAAGGCAGCCACACGCAGGGCCTCACGCAGCCGGTAGTGCACGTAGCGGCGGCGCAGGGTGGGTGGCAGCGCTGGCGGCAGATAGATGCTGGGGTAGAGGGCGGCCGAGGCAGCCCAAAGCCAGCCCAGCCGGTTGTTGCGCTGCACCTCCGCTGGCTGGCACTGCCCGGTGTAGTTGGTCTTCTTGGCCCAGTTGCCGTTGAGGCAGTCGGGGAAGCGGTAGAAACCCCAGAGTCCCTCTGGGCGCAGGGTCCGGCCCAGCAGAAGCGTCTCCTCCATCAGAGCTTGGGCCGCCTGCTCAAACTCCCGCCGGGCCAGCCGGAGCTGCTGCTGCGTCGGCAGGAGGCCGTGCCGGTCCCGCACCCACTGCTCCGAGGCTGCCCGGTAGATATGCTTGGCGCCCCAGTTTTGGGCCCAGAGGGGCCTCCACTCCTCCCAGTCTACCACAGCCAGGCCATGGAAAGTGGGGTGCAGGAGGAGGCGGATGTCCCTGGCTGCCCTGGAGAGGTGGGTGCCAAGGGGGACCCGCTGGGGAATGCCACCATTGTGGGCGACACCCTGTTGTGACAGGTAGGGGTACAGCCCAAACCTGTTCTTGTAGAAGATGGTGATGTTCTGGCCGGTGAAGCGGCCATCCCTGTTCTCCACGATGCCGTAGTCGCCAAGGGGCAGCCCCACACCGAAGCGGTGCTGGCAGCGGCCGGCAGGGACGTTCCACACCACAGCAAAAGGCTGGCCGCCTGCCAGCGGCTCCGGTGCCGGCCTCTCCCCACCAGCCATGCCCAGTGCCAGGCAGGCCCAAAGCACCAGCACCAGCACCATCCTGCACCGCCGGCTGCCCATGGGGCCGGCACCCTGCGGGGAAAGAAGAGCGGCAGGGCTGAGGTGGTGAGGTGCAGCGGGTACCCCAGTCATGCTGGCACTGCTGCCCTGGCACCTGGTGGGCTAGGATCGGCCGCAGGGCCTGTGCTGCCCCACTGGCACCTGCTGCCCACACCAAAATCCTACAGGACTCAGCAAACTCGGGGGTTTCAGACACCTCCTGCCTCAGCGGGCACCTCTGCCTGCTGCGCCCTGGTGCCCAGAGCCCCCCCACAGCCACAGCACAGCTCTGGTGTGCCATTGCAAGCCACCGAGCCTGGTGCCTCAGTTTCCCTGCTGGCTCCTAGTCCTGCCAGTAGTGGGGGCACCACGAGCCCCCTTCCCCATTTTGTAGCAGGTCCAGCCAGGCTGGGTGCCCTCTGAAGGACTGAGCCCCCCAGGAGGCACAGTGGAGCCAAAGGGGGAGCACGGTCCTGGGCAGGACTGGGTGCCCCTGCCTGCTGCTGGGCAGCTGCCCAGGGCGAGGGGATTAGGCAGAGGATGGGCCCAGGGCCGCGTGACACAGCAGGATCAGCGCTAATCCCCCGGCACAGGGCCCAGCCGCTCTCCCTGACCTTCCCGCTCCCACCTCCGGCCCTCCCTGGCTGCCTCAGGGGGTGAGACCTGGCACGGTCCCCCTCACAGTACAGGGCAGGGGACCCCACAGCCTGCCCCACCCTGCCCTACTCCCCTGGAGGCCCTCCAGCCACTGTGCGCCTCAGTTTCCCCAAGCTGTTCTGCAGGGGGAGAAGCAGCCACGGTGGTGGACACAGTGTGCCGTCAGCCCCAGCTGCCCCACAGCCAGTCCCCTGGGTGGTGGAGACACTGGTGGGACTGGGCAGTGCTCCCGGGACCAGTCCCAACCCCAGGCTGGGGTGGGCCTGGCTCCCAGCCACGCTGGTGTCCCAGGGCCCCCTGTCAGGTGAGATGGGGGCCAGTGGGGGGGTGGTCCCCACACCCTGCCTTGTCCGGCCCCCACCCCGGCAGCAGGGCCAGGACAAACCGGGGAGACTGGTGGAGCTGGTGCCAGCCTGAGGAATAGCAGGCAGTCAGGCAGCGCCAGGGCAGGCAGCCCCTGCCCACACTCGCTTTTAATCACCGGTTCACCCCTCAGATGTCCTTCTTCATCCAGAAGATGGGCAGCCCTTTGGCATCACGGTGGGGGGTCTCCAGGAGGCTCTGCCCGCTGCTCTCGGCCAGGACGCCCCTCGCCCAGACCACGGTTGGTGGGGGGGGCGGC